ACTAGGAACAGGTACTAGGGGCTCGCATCGCTACTAGGAACAAGAAGCTATTAGGGCCTCCTGGCATCGCTACTAGGAGCAAGAAGCTACTAGGGGCTCCTGGCATCGCTACTGGGAACAAGAGGCTACTAGGGGCTCCTGGCATCGCTACTAGGAACAATGAAGAACATCCATGGCCTTGCGACAACTCTCCGCAAACTTTTTCGAGCACACAGGTGGGCGGAGCATAAGATGGCTTCTGAGCCGGAAACTGGCCCAAGCACAGTGCGTTCCAAGCTCAGCGCATGTCGAAAGCGCTTTAAGTTTTGATTTGTTTTTGTAGGCCGGCTTAAATGATTTTGGAATTGAGGAAACGCTGGTTTGATGGCAGCTGGTGCAGCAGCAGGCCAGAAAACATCGTCAAAAAAGAGACGCAAAGGCAAAAGCAAAGAGCTGGTGAGCAGCTGGTGTCACTGTTTGGCACTTGTGTGTGCTTTGTGGAATTTTTCTAAGGCATCGGAGCGATGATTGCTGCAAGCACGTTCCATCCTTGCAAAGAACTAGGAGCGATCGGACGCTACGAACAGGGCTCCTGACCGCACTACAGATTCTAATTAATTCTAATTTAAGTTAATTCTAATTACTAATTCTTGTCTCTACTAGCTTCTTGTTACTAGTAGTCAGGCCCTTGTTCCTAGTAGTACGGCCAGGAGCCCCTAGTAGCGTCCTTGCTCCTAGTACAGATTATGCGCACGGACCTACAAATGAAGGCTGTCCTGGTCTCTCGTGTCTTAGGCCTCTCCAGAACAGCTTGAAGGGGTCCTGCCGGTACGATTTGAGCGCATGTGGTAGTGGCTGTCCGACATTCATCACTGAAATCATTATCTCCGGATTCATGAAGGACTGACAACGTTTTTCTTCTCCTTCTAATCTCATTCTCTTTTTGTTATCCTTTTCTTTCTGAAATGTGCCTGAGTCACGTTTCAATTTATTTGTTTGCCATGAGGTAAGACGAGACAAAAAGGGGCAAGAAACCGGAGGAAAGGATTGATGGGGTTGTCTTTAGCCGGCTAGGGGCAGCGGATTCTTGGCACGAATGGCCACACACCCTGCCTGCCACTCATCACCAACACCTGGCAGATGTTGAAACAGAAAAGGAACTCTTCCACCAGTTTGAGTATGGCCAAAAGTGTTCGCTGTGCATAACTTGCGTTATTCGAGGCTGGGCCTTTCTACATTCACTTCTGGGTCAGCGAACTCTGAGGGAAATTCGCTGAGCGGAATGTTGTTTTTTGCCCGCTACCCCCTCAGGAGTAAACTACTAGCTACTAGTAAGCTACTACCTACTGGACGCAGGATAGCTTCCTTGAAGAAGCGCTCGCACTATTCATTTGGTTCCTAGATTTTTAGTGAATTTAATCATTTGATGGAAAGCTGGATTGTTTCATATACATATTTGGTTCAATGACATTGATGGTCACTGAAGATGTTTGACACCGCGTGAGGCTCCTAACTTCAAGTGGGCACTCTCAATCAACAATCTCATGGTGGGAACCTTGCTTTTTCCCTGCAAAGGCAAGAAGAGAGCAGAACACTCAAAGCAGCAAAAGGCTCTAATGAAACCTGACAGCAGAGACACTTGCACAGTAAATAAAGCAGACATTTTGAGGACTATGATCGGCCCACTGACAAGATCAGCTTATCAATGCTGGGCGCTCCAGTGACTTGAGGTTCATTTACGGTCTTTTCCTTTTCTTCGGTTGATGCAAATTGCTTTCAAAGCGTCAAGACAGTGAGGACAAGTGCATTGACCTTGACGGGTCTCATTTTTATGCGCTGGTCCTTCGTACGGGGGCCTGGTCAGCATTGACCTCGATTTCCAGCGTTCTTGGATTCTACCACCCCAAAGCGGCTCTCGGCGCTTGGGGATGAGACAACAACAATCCCGGCAAAGGAATGGAAGTGGAGAAATGCAAAGTTCATTGTGGAGCAGTTTTTCTCGGGATGCAAAGCTAAGCCAGGATGCAAACGGATTTCTCGGGCAACTGGCTTCTCTGGCTGATTTGGCCAGTTGCGAAGCAGCTTCCATTTTTGCTCCTGCAAGCGCACCTGACGTCTGATGTCTTCGTCCTGGCCGGTGGCTTTCTCACCAAAAGACTCATCGCTGCATGACTTGGACTGCTGCGCTGCAGTGAGGTACAACCAGTAGCGATGCCCTTTGCTCCGGACTAACAGCGATGCCCTTTGTTCCGTTCGTAGCGAACATTGCTTCTAGTAAGGCCAGGAGCTCCTAGTAGCGTCCTTGTTCCTAGTAGTAAGGCCAGGAGCTCCTAGTCGCGTCTTTGCTCCTAGTAGCAAGGCCAGGAGCTCAGTAGCGTCTTTGCTCCTAGTAGTAAGGCCAGGAGCTGCTAGTAGCGTCCTTGCTCGTAGTGGTAAGGCCAGGAGCCCCTAGTAGCTTCTTGCTCGCAGTAGTAGGGCCAGGAGCCCCTAGTAGCTTCTTGCTTCAGTGATAAGGCAGGGGCCCCTAGAAGGCCAGGAGCTCCTAGTCGCGTCGTTGCTCCTAGTAGTAAGGCCAGGAGCTCTTAGTCGCGTCTTTGCTCCTAGTAGTAAGGCCAGGAGCCCCGAGTAGCTTCTTACTCGTAGTAGCAGGGCCAGGAGCCTCTAGTAGCTTCTTGCTTCAGTGATAAGGCAGGGGCCCCTAGTAGCGACCTTGCTCCTACTAGTACGGCCAGGATCCCCTAGTAGCGTGCTTGGAGCCCCTAGTAGCGTCTTTGTTTCTAGGAGCGTTGCCTTTTAACATCTGCTAGACAGAGCGCAAGATTCACAGAAGGCCTCGCAAAAGACCGGCGGTGCAGGACTAAGCATGGAAACTGCAGGCTAAGCGAAGCAACTAAAGCCCACCCATACAAGGCGCACTGGATTAATTGAGCGTGCGTGAAGTGGCCTCAGACATTGCACCCAACCATTACACAAGGCCATAGCTGATTGATGTTCCACTTTTGGCGCTGCTCATGCTGCTTCCAGTGCACACAGCCGTACAATTCATCACGTGATGATGGCAAATGCGATCGCTTTCTTCGAATTTCCTGCGTTTAGACAAGGCAAGATTGGAAACCCAAGACAAAATTTGTTTTTTGTTTGCCAAATCGTAAGATCACTTGGCCCCCAGTCGTTTAACTGTGCGACATCGTTTCTTCTAAGATATGCTTTATCAGCCTTTTTGCTGAGGTGATTACGCCTGTGAACTACAGCCTTTTTGTTTGGAAGCTCAGCCCCAACTGAACGTCGGCTCGAGAATTGAATCATGCATTGCGCGTTTTCTTTGAAGAGTTGGGAGGCTGTGAATTGCGCGTTGTCAACCTCTTCCGGCTATCTCCTCGCGCGGAAAGTGAAGGTCGAATTCACACTTTTGTTCCTTTTACAATTTTGAGAACGTGCTTTTGCTAGGCAGATTATTTTGAAGCGGCATGATCTTTAAAGTGGGTAATTTATAAGTTCATTGTTTGGAAATTAACATATTTTATAAAATACTTAAAATTAATTAAAAAATTATAAATTTTTGATAAATTTGAAAATAAATGAAATATATTATGATAGTATAATGGAAATTAATAGTACTATTATAGGTAATATTTATATTATTTTAAATTGAGGTGGATACGCTTGAATTTGAGGCTTATATTTTTATTATTTTCGATATTTAGTTTAATATTATTGTTATGTAAATATAAATAATTGATAATTTATTTTTTGTTTTATAAGTGATTTAAAGCGCTATCTTAGCTTTAAGTTCGGTAGCCATTTTCGTATCTCTCCGTATATATGTTTCTATCTCTTTTTTGAGATTACGATTATTCTGGAATCTTTTAATGAAGATTTGCTGGCTGCTTTTGACATTGATTTTGATATTTGTCTTGTTGAAACACTAGGTTCTAAATCTTGGGGGTATGGTATCCTTTGCATCTAGTTAAAATGATTAATCCATGCCTGGCGTGAGGGTTATTACTAGGGCCTCGCCTGGTGGTGAGAGTGTTATCGACTTGTCGATTCATTAATAGCCTGATACGAAAATCTACGAGGTTTGGGTAATATTAGATTACGACCTAATTGGGGATTTATTTAGATGCAAGAGAATTAAGAGGAGCTTTCATCGAGTATGCAAACGAGCATACAAATACGGATGCACACAATATCGTGGAAAGGATTTCTGGTATTCCAACATCCCCTTCCGGATTCGATAACAGCTGACTTACGAATCCAATATCCCAGTTACGAAGGTGGGATCCTCCACATCGATGATCCGGACAACCGACTCCTTGAATATATTTTGTTGGAACGCCTCCAACGGGTTCCTGCTGGATGAATGGGTGACTTGGCTCACTTAGACTTCGTATGATGTTGTTATCCTGTAAGAAATTGGTTGGCGATTTAGCAATTAATGGGTTTTTGATGATTGGTACATGCTGCATTCCCATGGCCATCGAGGCATCGTTTTCTGCATGATCCGTAGACGATTGCTGCGACCAGATTAACTTGTTGCTGCGACCAAATTAACTTGCTTGGAGTGAATTGTGCTTAGGTCGGCTTATCTATATTCGATTACATCTCTTCCGAATCCACGATTTTATTTGTGTTTATTAGCACTCATGGAGTTTATCGAAGGAACGTCAAATCCTTCTCCATGATAGACTTTAGGTCTTTGAAGCCATCCGTTAATGTATTCTTCATATTCCTAAGAGTCATATGTTGTTGCTTGCAGGTGATTGCAACACACCTCTGACCGCTGACGTACCACATATGCATTTACGTGACCCCAAGTATGGCATGGCTTCTCAATGTGATAAGCAGGACTTTCAAACCATGATTCGTGATTTGGACCTGGTTGCTGTTCATTGTCAACATCAGTGGAAACCTACCTTCCAACATGGGAACCACTCGAGCCGAATCGACTTTATGCTCGTTCGTCGCCACCAAGTTCAATGGATTAAACATCGTGCACAGGTACTGACCCAGTTCGAACGAACGATTGGCAGCAGTGCACCTGTCTATCATCCGCTTGTTATGTCCTTACCAAAATGGTTTGCACCTCCCCGTCAACACCCACCGATTAATTCGATCGACCGCCATCGACTGAGGCTTGAATATTAGTCACAGACTGAGAACTGGCTCACCTTCGAAACTGAACTCATGAACATAGTTTGCACTATCACCACTGAACCTCATTCGGTTGACCCCCTCTCCACCTGCATCCAAGTTGAACAGAAAATCAGACAACTGTGTCAGAACCATTTCCCCCGAGTAAGCCGGATTCGTCCCATGTGCTCTCAGGTCAAATCATTGGCAGCTCAAATGTGGTATGCCAGACGGCAATTACTACGCCTTCGTTCAACTTCCATGCAGGCCGTGATTCAGGGCTGGTCTTGTGTCATTCGATTCGACAAGCTCCATAAAGCCATCAGACGTCAGAGCAGACAAAACCGCAAGCACCGCTTAGATGCCTTTCTTGCTGAAAGTGTCCCCCTGGTCCTTCAAAACAAATTGCATGACTGGTATAAGCGGATTCGTACCCTGTGCCCTAAGCACTCATTCAGGCGGATTCAGATGTTTGACATGCATGGGGCTCCACTGTCCCAAGCCCAAGAACTTGAGCGCCTGACTCAATACTTTCAGGGCTTGTTCACGGACCCTTATGCACTTATCATGATCCCTCCGGCTCTGAATAGTTTGCCATTCACTGAGGCTGATGTCCTACATGAACTTCAACACCTTCCGGTGACGAAAGCACTGGCCCCTGACGGTTTTCCTGCTTTGATTTGGAGACATTTCGCAAGCATTTTGACACCCGTGATGTTTTCATGTATCAGACACGCATGGTGCCAAAGCCAGAGTCTTCCACCGTCACATTGGTCAGCGGGTTGGCTTCACCTTCTTGCCAAACCCAATAAAACCCCAAATCAACCAGCCGCACTCAGACCAATCTGTCTTCAACATCCGATGCATAAGGTCATGTCCAGCATTCATTGTCGATTGTTGCTTGAACAGGCCCGTGGTCCTCTCAGTCAGATGCCCATGTACGCGTACATGCCTCACCGAGGAACACGTGAGTGTCTTCTGACAGTGTCCCATCACTGTAGATTGGTGAGAGAGCTTTGCACTGCTCATCGGAAAGACGATGCCAAAGCAGGTCTTTGGGGAGGTCTCCAAATTTCGTTGGACATGGAAAAGGCATTTGACACGGTCAGCAGACAGTTGGTTTCCAGGGCTCTCCATGCCTTTGAGGTCTCAAGTGACCTTCAATCGTTAGTACACTCGTGGTTGACCCCCCACACTTACTACATCCCCTTCAAAGAAGTAGTGGGAAAAATCCAGGCCACTGGTGGCATTCAACAAGGATCCAAGGATGCTCCGCTCTTTTGGAACCTTACGATGTACATCATCCTCCACGACTTACTAGCTCAGTATGACCACGACTGGATCTTAAACCACCTGATAGTGTATGCAGACGATTTTCACATGCGCTGGATTGTCCGATCACCAGCAGATGGACTTCGCGCAATGCACGACCTATCCTTCCTGATGAGGGTGTTTAACGCCTATGGATTAAAGATCAATTCTCATAAGAGCTTCGCACTGATTCGACTCGTTGGGAAGGCCCTTCCTTCGTTCCAGAAAAGATGGATTAGTCGCACGGCCAATGGCCCAATGCTTCGACTGCCTGACATGGCCATCACAGTGCCGCTGGTTGCCAAAACGACCTATCTTGGAGTTATCATCTCGTATAGGGCATGGGAAGTCGATACTACTAAACGCAGACTCACTGCAGCCCAAACATGCTTTCGAATTCTGCGGAGGTGGCTCCTAGACAAGCATCATCCAATGCAGACCAGGATCAAATTGTACCGTCAGTGTGTTCTCCCCACTGTCCTTTATGGGGTGTTTGAAATGGGCCTCACACAACATGGCAGTAGCACCATCTTTGGCATGATCAATAAGCACCTTCGTTCGATGGCACATGCACCTGTTCACCTCACACGAATCCCTACTCAAGAATTCTTCCAAAGCCTTGGCTTGTCTCCACCATGGCACATCCTTCAACGACACTATGATCGTTTGATTGATTCCTTGAGTCACCGCCGGTCCTGCCTTCGTACATCAGTCATGTCGACCATGCCTAGTGATGCCGGAGTCCATGTCCCAGATTATCCTGAAACCTCCATTCCTTTTCCGCCATCACACACTGATCCGTGTACCCAGGTCCCTGTACTCCGATGCCATGAATGCCATCGAGCATTCACACAGGCAGGTCCGTATAAGCGTCACCTGAGGGAACATCATCAAATCCCATGCACTCAAGAAGATCTTTATAATCCTCTCCGGGACACCACCAATGGGTACCCAACTTGCAGACATTGCCACAAGGGTTTCATTGATTTCTTTCGACTTCGTGATCATATCAACAAACGAGTTTGTTTGCATTTTAATGTCTTGCAGGACCAGATTGTGCCCATTTGTGATCGACCTGACCTACGTATGCATCTCAGATACAAAAGCATTCCCGGCCTTCTCCTCAACAAGGCCTTGATGAAGGAACTGTCCAACCATTGTGCCTACTGCCATAGTGCCATTGCCGCTAGATCGCTTCGCCGACATTACCGCGACTGTCATGCCCAACTGCTGTCTTTTGAGCCTTTGCACAAAGAACAGGTCTATGGTTTGGCCAACCTAGGAAGCGGTAAAGGCAGTTGCATTCTGTGTGATCAGTCCTGCAACAATGTTCGCACGCATCAGTGTGGAGTCCTCATGCAACTGAGTATCATGCTTGGTCAAACATATGATGTTAGTCATTTTCCGGTGATGCCAGTCATGATGAGAGGAGATCCTGAAGACCGACTGGAAGAAGCAGATGCAGACATGATGCCTCGCCCTCCGGTAACTGAGACACCTGCAACCACAGTCCCTGGTCCACCTGGTAGTTTCGACAATCATACACCCGTGATTTCACCTACAGTCTCGAAGAACACCAGCTGTCTACACAAGTGCCAGCACTGTCACATGGCTTTCCTGACACCTGCAGGACTTGACCAACACCTCAATCAGGATCATGCTGCAGGGACCAATCTTGACCGGTCCCGTCAGGACACCAGGAAACTCGGACGTCAGAAAACGATCCAGCAGATGCTCCAAGCTCCTGTACAGGAACCGCCTCATCCGCCTTTGAAGCAATATGAATGCCCCCTGTGTCAGGAAACTGTTGGTCGTAAGGCCTTGTGGGTTCATTTGAAACGTGAACATCAAGCCACGAAACAGGATGCCTTCGAGTTCGTTCCTGAACGTGATATGTTGCCCGGAAGCTTGACCTGTCGACATTGCTACAGTTCGTTCACCATGGAACAAGCACTGGTCACCCACTTCAAGCGTAGCTCCTGCCCTGTTCTCACCTGTGACTGGGCTCGGAAATTGCACTTTGGCTCTCATTCAGGACCTCCAATTCCAGTTGATGACCACATGGA